CATTCCATCCGAATGATTTTTCCGGACTTCAGTAACGTATTCCTTAGAGTAAACCGCAAATACCTGTTGAACGTTTCCCTCGGCTGTGGAGTGCACACTTCCATCGTCCGCTTGCTAAGAGACTATTTTGCCGGTGGTACTCAGATCACGCGACTTGGAGGCCGAAGCCCCTCGTCCCTAATTAGAAACTCCGATATTAATCCAAGAGTTATTCTGCCACTATTTTTATTTCCCATTTACGTCGGCTCAACACCAGCCTCTAAGGAAAAGACTCTGCTGAACTATGCGGATGACATTGTCTTGGACACAAATTAGTCGACTATTGCCTTTTCGGATAGATTCCGGCATATTCTAAACAATATTACGGCTCGGCTGAAAGTTGCAAGCTATCACTTAAAACGTCAAAGCGTAACTATGTTTTCTAATTGCACAGGGAAATTGGAAATCAAAAGATTCTCACACAGTGCTTAAAATTCCACATAAATGGCGAAGATTTTGCACTCCTCCACGTCAATGCATCAGCTACGTGTTACTCTTAAATACGATTTATCCTGTTCACATTAAGTGAATGAAAGGTACACAAAGTCGTAAGATTGTCATTCTCCGCTTTACGTTTGCGATTCTCCCTCCTACCTCATGCTATCCTACCTCGTTTGTCTGTTTTCTTCCAATTTTGGTGCATTGCACTCTTGCAATCTATCCTGGTTTACCGGATAATCACTTCAGATCAATCGTCAGGCCGCTAAAACATTTGTCTCGATGTAACTGCCTTCCAAAGTTGGCTTTTGTTTAATAGTTCAATAGTGTATGATGGGATGAAAAGCATAACTTAACAAGACCCACAGGATAGAAAATGCACAAGAAAATTAAATCAGAATTTTTCCAACGTGGAACGTGAACTGTCAGTAGTAAGGACATCGCACTTTATCACACTGTTGTATAGCGTTTATCACTAAGATAATAATCTACCAGTCTCTCGAATTTTGTGGTGTCTGGTGCGTTCACTACATGTGTTGGTAGTGCATTCCAGTGTGAACAGATTCTAAGAGAGTGACAATACTTCTTACAATCTAAACTGGAGTTGCTCGTTACTAGTTTCATTTGATAGCCTCTAGATTGTTTGCAAGGGGTAAGGATCAGCCGTGAAGCACATGGGTGCTCGCTTGCCGTCAGTATCCGGCATATGAGGACAAGACCCTGCGAAGCCGTCGGTAATCTGAGGAGAAGGCAACAAGCAAACGAAGGCGCAACTCGTAACAGACCTGATAGTCCACGTGTTGCCTTGGTAGCCCTTCTTTGGGGTTGCTTTAAAAGACGAATGTATCGTTATAACCATGAGCGCCAGGCCTGAATCGTATATTCAACATGGGGACGAAAATAATTTTTGATCAACAATAGTACTAGCAACCGCTCGAAGGTGCCAAGAACTCTTCACAAAAGCCTGAAGTTCAAGTTCGCTACATTCGCTGCTTTCGAGCCTTGGAGTGAATTGCCATCACTTTCTTGGACGATGATACCTAAGTCTCGTTCACTAGTCACCTGCTGTAAAACGTGCTGCCCCAGAAGATATCCGTTGCTGAAGCTGCTACGCACCGTCAGCAGGTGGCAATTTACAGGGTTCAGTGAGAGTTGGTTCGTTTTGTCCATTGGCTAATCCGGTCCAGATCGTTCTGGAGATAGGCACGGTCGGGTGCTAAGCGAATTGCTCTCCATATTTTAGCATCTTTGCTAATATCTGCACAGTGGATAGAATGTTTTCTAGGAGGTCATCTATGTAAACTAAAAACAGTAGCGGGCCGAGGGTGGATTCTTGCGGCAAACCACTGGATACGTACAGGCTTTCGGAGTGAGTGTTGGTTATACTTACCTTGCTGGTTCTGTCATATAAGTACTCTTCCAACCAGGTGAGCAGGGAACCGTTGATACCGTAGGCAGCAAGCTTTTATAGGAGAACGAAGTGAGTGACCCTGTCGAATGCCTTAGAAAAATCTAAGTAAATCACATATATGGGGACTCCTCCATCAGCTGCTGTGGTCCATGAATCCTGGATAAGTAGTAGGTTGGTGAGGCAAGATTGTCTGCGTCTGAAACCGTGTTGGAAATTGGAAATTATTTACAGACTTACAGAATCTCGCGTCAGTTCATCCGCGATTATCGATCCCATCCCTTTTTCTAAAACATGTAGGAGAGTAATTGATCGGTAGTTGGCAGGATCGGATCTCATACCTCCTTTGTATACCGGAGTGATGATTCCACGTTTCCACTCAGATGGGAGTGTATGGGGGTCAAACAGACCCTGGAAAAACGCTGCAATATGTGCTGCTATAGTGGAGGTAACAGTTTTTGGTACATTTGTGCAGACCTTGTCGATTCACGAGGCACTATTTCCCCGGCGAGACTGTAATTTGTTCACGGCAGTCTCCGACACTGGACAAGCTGAGGGCATTTGTTGGGGGTTGATAACCACCGAGCCACCAAGTTGTAGCCACCGAGCCAAACTGCAGGAGTAGATCGTTCGCGGTATAATTAAGCTACTGGCCGTCTGCAGTGGTGGTATTCCAGATTTAACCTTTCTTTTTTCGTTCACATACTTGCATAGCAGTTTGTTGTTACTCGCAAGCCTGTGTGTCATGTTCTCCTGTCATTCTTACTTGTCTGCCCTAATAAATGACATGTAGTTTCTGATTGTTTTGTAATTTTACCATGAGGTATCACATGGGCTTAGTGTAGGTTGCTTCTAAATCACATCTCTTCTGTCGATCCATTTATGTTTTCTGCTTCGGATCCAACTGTTGGTCCGGCGTGATACTCGTAATGGTACAACTTTTGAGGCTGCTTGTATGACCCAGTTAACTTACCTTTCAATTCATTCCATGCGTCATCCGCCAAACTGTAAGTCTGTTGACCCTAGTCCACGGTTGTCGCTAGGTTGTGGAGCATGGAGTAGTCAGTAATATTTAGTTAGGTTTCGCGTTCTTTATCAACTATACTGGCACACAAATAAATATAAGGACTGAATGGTCGCTACTGCCTAGTGGAGGGTCGTGTGAGACGGACACAACCATCAACTCTTCATTTGTCAGGATTAGGTCCAGTAATGATGGCTTGTTTGAACCGCGGTGTCTGATTGGTTGATGCACATGGTTATACAAAACTGCCATATCCATAACTTCAAAGAGTTTTGATTTAAATAATGGCCCATTAGGGGACACTGAGTCAATTGAAGGTACGTTGAAATCGCCCATTATAAGGTAATGAGAGTACGTTTTTGAAACAGCATACTGGAGTGCGCTTAACATAATCTGATCACTGTCTGCGGATGAGTTCGTTAACCTGTAGACAACTGCTAAGACACAAGAATCCCTCGTCTTCTTCTGTGATCCACCATCTTGACCTGCTAGCTGCAGTCGGCAAAATAATGCGTAAGGAATAACAAGGAAATGTTCGGTAATGGTCTCACACTTAAGGTAATCTCGATAGCAAATGGCAACACCGCCACTGCGAGATGGACGATTATTTCGAATGAATGACATCCCACTGAGTTCAATCTCTGGATCAAGTATGTCGTTTGAGAGCCAAGTTTCCGTCTCTGCTACATTGTCCCAATTTGATGTTTCATGTCGATGGTGCACTTCTAGTAGCTTAGGGTAGAGACCCTGAATGTTGGTGTAACAACATTGTACTTATTGACGAATTAGCAGCTCATTTCGCTGTGGGTGAGCGGCACAAATAGTGCCTGTCTGTTTGCGATATATTTGAAACATGTGTTTTTACTGTTGACTGGCATGAGGTAGGAACAACCGAGATTGGCTCATCCGTAACTGGGATTTGTACTGCTTGAAGGAAAGGTCTTAAGCGTGCCTCTGGAAGCCCAAGTTTCCTGTTGTCATACCACCATTGGATTGCAATTGTTACCATCTCGGGCGTAGCCAGGGTAACTTGCACAATTATTGGCCCGCTGCGGTGGCAGTTTGGGGAGGCCGCTAGAATCGTGATGTCAAAAGCGACGAAATTTTGCAAGTTGCAGAGTTCTGTGAAATACTCATAATCTTCGATGTCGTGCTTTTGTTGTTCACTGTTGTCGCCATGCGTTAATTCTGGTGCACCATGAACCAGTATCACCTTCTTCGTCTCATTTTTTCTTGACACGTTCGGGTCAGATTTCCGCCTCTGCGTTTCTGCCCATGGCTTGTTCGGAAAAATGCGGGCCCTGACAGAAGAGTTCACTAGCATGTGACCTACTAACAGTACATCTTCCAGGTCCCGTGTGTTGCCAAGGCTTACTCGCAGTAACCGAGGTAGATACGCGTGTTGATATACTTGGGCCACTCAACTTAGTTCCTGTAAAATGAGCGGGCCGACAGGACTCACCGAAAAACCTCACCCCCTTCGTAGGGCAATTTCGTAACGCGCGCCAGTCGTATCAAACAGGCAAAAGTATGTGTTTATTTGCCAGATGACGAGCTCACTTTTCATCAGTTAGTCCTCGTCTAGTGCGATGGTAGCTAAATCGAAACAATGTCATCCGATAATTAACCGCCCAATTACACTTTGATGGTATTGTGTTTTGCATTTATTAATCTAACTATTTTTGCTTATTTCTAGACCACGCACCTTGTGTTACATTGCTAGAGACGTGAGTGTTAGGGCTGAATAGTCACCGTAGTGGGCGTACGGAGGAAGTTCTTGACCGATTGACTTGGATTACTACTGCATACTGAAAAGTAGTGTAATGCAGGCGTTACATAACCCCGCCCGTGAAACTACCGACTTTGGTAGTCAAGCGCTGACGATCTCATGTTCATGTACACTCCAACCTACTATGGCAATCAGCCAAAAAGATCCTCGACGTTTTCTTTTATGAGTAATATCTCTATGCATGAACCTTCCCATGGCAACCACCTGTCTAAGGCGACCACTTTTGTCGGTCCCTTGAGTGGTCGTCTCAGACAGGTTTGATTATACTACTTTTCTTGACAAAGAATTTGTGTCCAATTCAGATTTGGCAGAACATTCCAGTGGCGGAGCAAAATACATAAGACTCAATGGACTGCAAAATTTTGCAGTGCACGCGCGATCTGGCAGCGTATACGTTTCCGTCAAGTGAGTCCATATTCAACCAAATGTTGTTCGTCGTTTGAGAAATAGTGTAAATATAAGCAAGCTCCGCCGTTCGGCAGGGAACAGTAGACAATTGTACAAAAGTATCACGGCAACGCATGGTTTTGGGCCAGCGTAAAACTTAATTTCACGGTGCCTTCATAGGGTACCCTTTACAATCGAACTGATTACGTTAAAATATAAACTTCGTATACCCGCCAACATGGGAACAATGGTGTATTATGAGCAAAATAGCAAGTGCTTAACAAGTCCCGTGGAATGAACAAATTAAAAATCACAAAATAGAAGAGAAAACATCGTGATAAAATAAAAAGCTTTTTGTTGGCGTCACCTCATTGTTCACATCAAGGCACAATTAGAAGAGCTCATCTTGATTGCGTAAGGAGATTTGGGTTAGCGCCTTTTGGCACCTTATATCGTCTCCAGAAGTACACAGGCTACAGTACGTAATGCATGTGGGTCAAAGCATTGTGGAGATGTATTTTAACAGATTAATTAGTGGACGAGACAAGGGATTTAAGGAGGGCGTTGCATGGCTGGCGAATATAAAGGCAGTGAAAGTTTCGTCAACATACTAGCTTGTTGTACTGCGTATCGTGAACACGTTGCGATAGGTGACCACAGACGTAGCTATGGTTTTCCAGAATCTGGTAGGTCACTAGTAGGTCGCGCGGTAAGCGCCGATGCTAACCCTTATACAACCATAGTGTCCTCAACTTGAGTTCATATAGAAGGTGGAACAGCCATTTGATGTGTTTGGTGGCTATTCTGATCTAGCAAATTTTGGAAGACCATAGTCAAGTTTGAGGCCACCTTCTGAAATTTAGCCGCACCACAAAATTGAGGGGATACCAGCTGAAACTGGAAACTCAATACATTCGGTTGTAATGGCGCCTGAATTATTTTGCTCTCAGAAGTTGTCGGCTGTGGAACGCCCTCAAGTTTTGTCGTTTCTACGCCTCGACTGTGCATTGCACCTTCTGCATTTGGTGATATGAATTCCGCTCGTCGGGTAATGAAAGATGTAACCAAAGATTGTACCAACCGGCCCCCACGAGTATACATGTTTATCAACGTTACTATTATGGTGAGTCCACAGATGCGCATTTCATTTCCATGGCACCTTTCTTTAACTTATAAAATTCACGCGAGCCGTCCAACAGGACTTGTCAAGCCCGTATTATACAATTGTTCTATCGTTCCACTGAGTGCCTGGTTGTTCCAGGGCTAAAAATCGTGGATAGCATATTCCGAATGAGATCGCAGTTATGTATGAAGCATCTACGGATAAACAGCATTGGAATAATAGTGTATTGCGACTAAAAAAGCAATGCTTAACGAGTCCGGTGGGATGGAAATTATTGCGTAAATTAAATTGCGTGATAAAGTGAAGAGCGTTTTGGTGGACTCACCATAGACTTATGTCGAATAGCAGAGGTGTTCGCATATTAAAGTATACATGCATAAATCCATTGATTGAAAGTTTGGCAAGACACCGTTTGATTGCGTTTTGTAACCCCTGGCTAACAAGTCATAAAATGAAATGTAAGTAAGACAATGCATCGTCAACACGCTTTTTAAATATCGCCTGATTGGGAGCAGAGACGACATAATTAAGGAGGGCGTTCCAAGGCTGACACACGCGGAGGGAAAAGAAATTTCTACGACATTCAAGCCTTCTATACTGAATTGTCAGTTTCAGAGGGTGACCTCTTAGTTTAATGTCGTGGTTCAGTCCCAGCAGCGGACGGCAGATGTGATTTTTATTCAGCAGAATTTGCTAAACCATTATGAGATCCCCCCGCAAACGCCGATATCGACTGCTGCAGATTCTTAGAGATTTCGGTCTAAGCTGACAGGGCACATGAAAGAGACCTCTGACGTTCTTGCTTCCCCTTTGTTGAAGAGTCTCGAGAGCAACGAGATCCTGTTTCCGCCAAGGCTGCCAAACCTGGTTAACATATTCCACGTGCGGG